GAACCACGAAACGACTTTGCGTGTGGTTCCCAGTATACCTACCTCACGGTATCTAAATCTCGCAATACTTCTTTCGTTAGATAATCCAGACCCTTTTTCATAGGCCTTGAAAAGCCGGGTCTGGAAACTATGCGACATTGAAAAATATGTTGAAACTTTATCAATCAAATTAATCTCCCTCACAACCTGGAACTTTTCCCCATCTTTCCTTAAGAGAATCGATTCCTCTCTCGTAAAACACCTCATCCCGTGAGCCAAAGAAACCATCAATTACGTTTTTGAGTACACCTTCGTTCGGGAACTGCTTCTTCACATGAAGTTGTCCAGCGACCTGAATAGATAGTAGTCCGATGGTGCAATGTCCGGTGAATGCGATGGATGCGGCAGAACTTGCCAGTCGAGGTCCTTCAATTTTTGCTGGGTCTTTTTTGGCGAAGTGTGGTCTTGCATTGTCGTGCAAGAAGAGGACCTTTCTTCGATCGACCAATGCGGCCCGAGATTTAAGCAAGGCTTCATGGACACGCTGTAGTTGCGTACAGTAGACGTTCGCGTTGATGGACTGGCCGGTCTTCAGGAGCTCGTAGTGCACGACGCCGAATCGGGCCCACCAAATGCACAAAAGGACCTTCTTTGGGACGAAACCCTTCGTTGGGTTTCGTCATTTTGCTCGGGGGTTCATCAGGGTCCAGCCAAAAGTATGATCTTCGTTGGTTGTTCCACAGAACCCACTTCCCATCTGACGTGATGATACAGCCAAACATCGGGTGTTCCTTGCGCAAATGGTCGCTCGTTGAATCTTCTCTATTTCGGACAACTTGTGAGTGACCCGTTTGTCCAGTTTGACCTTTCCCACGGTGTGAAGGTGATTCAACATGGTTGTACGGTCGCAGCCGAGTTTGCTCGCCGATTCAGACGTGGTTTGGTGCGGATCATCTTCGATCATGGACTTATCGCGTAGCAGTAGCTACTGCCAACCCGCAGGTCTTGCCTCAAGTAGAACTTCTCAATATAGAGGCACACTTTTGAAGAGTTTGGTAAGCATACGGCACCTAAACGAATTTGCCCGTAGCCCCATGTCCTTCTTTATGCATACGCGTCGTTCGCGTTGCCCTCCTTATCGAACTGGAGAAGTAAGCAATGACGGATGTGGTCGTCGAGCCGCATTTTTCAATCGAGCGGGAAAACTTTTAACTGAATGCTGTACACAGCAGATAGGCTGAAAAGCTCTGTAAAATTTTATATATTTCTTTTCATATACATCATAGCTACAGAACAAGCATAGCCGGCGCGGCACGAACCCCTCAAGCTCAACCCACTAAAAGTTCCGGATACTTTTTCCCAGACATAATATTAGGATATTTTGTGTTCATGGAGGTAACCATTTATGAATACATGCCCCTATCGAAGCCAGGGAAAATTTGTCCTAAACTTGTTTACTTGGTTACAATGGATGAGCAGAATTTATTGTCGAATTCTTTGATTTCATAGGAATGACCTAAAAATGGAGATAAACATGCGATTTCAAAAATCTGAATATGATGTGGTAACCACCTGCTTCAGCAAGGGAGCTTCAAATTCCCCTATGCGAACGGCTTATTCGCATTAGAAATCTTGACACGACGGATCGTCTCAGCGGATGTGCAGAACTTTGGTTCAGACGGTATGCTCTGTTCTAGGGAGCGTTCGGATGATGGCGAACGACTGATTTCAGAAGCACACGCAACCACTAGTCTGCGTGATTGAATTCTAGAGATAATGGGGGCCATCAAGTTGCAATATGTCAGCTTTGGATGTTTTCCCGAAGTGTTGCGAAGAACAGGTTTCCNACGGAAACGTTTCTGCACCTTCGCCTTGATGTGTTTGGTGAAGCAGCCTGTTTGAAAAATCACTCCAAAGTATTCGTAGGAATTCGTGATTTCCAAGACTCGTCCCAGGTACTGGAAGTGGTCGTCCCGTGCCGGTTTCCCTCCTCGGCGAAACTTCATTATCTTGGTTTTGCTTGTGTAAATGTTTACCAATTTCAATAGTATTTTAACTAAAAAAAAAAGTAGTGCAGACCTTGGAATTGTATTTGACCAATTTTCACAATATTTGAAAATGTCGTTCACGAGTTATGCTTTTCAACATGAAAACCACCATTTTCAAGAATGCGCTCAAGATGCTAACAGTACTCCAACAACGTTTTCTGCCTCGTTTCGACAGTGATTCCGCCAAAAGCATTCAATATACGCCCCTTCAATCCCAGAATATCTGCCAGTCGAGTGGTGTATACCGAAAACCTTAGGCGGATTTCGATCGCATTCCGCACGAAACTTTTGTCCATTCGTACCAAGCAGCAACCTTTGCCCGTTCATGACGCCAGAATGTGGCATCTCAACCACGAAGTTTGGAAAGCGCGAGGTAGCGCACGCTGGGGGTCCACGTGACGTTAGTGAAGTCAGTAGGTTAGCAGGCAGCCCAGATCCACTTTGTCGCCTGCGTCTCTGGTATGTCTTGCAACCACAACGAATAGTCACCACCTACAAGACGTGGATTCGTTCATTCGAAACAGAACTAAAGAGGCAGTCTGCCAAGTGGGAGCTGCTTTGTTTAACACGTTCGCGCAAGTTATTGCCAAGCTAGACCAGAATGAGTCAAAAAATGATACCTGCACGAAACATCGGTGGTGTTGTTTCTGTGGTATCAGGTGGATCAGTGGCTTGCTACTGTGTTCCGCAAGAAAACCGTTAACATGCATCTACACAGAGATTTCCCAGTGCTGCACCCTAGTTCCGCTATTAGCAGGAAGCGTCCACAGTTGTTAGGCACGGGAGCTGTCAACCTGCATGACCATATGCCGTCGTCCTTTTAAAACGCACAAAACAAATTGTGCGGAAAAAGAGTTGAGAACATGCAAGTGGTGTAAGAGGCTCGCATCACTAATTTGTAGCAGCCGTAATATGCAAATAAATTACATTAAGAGAATATTGATTGCATAATGATTCGCATCTCCCTCAAAATGACTCCTATGCATCATTCGTAGTCTTCACATTACATCGGGAGGAAATACGAGATATGCAATGCGTACGGCATGTTGTGAAAGCCCAGTGAAGTGTTTTTTCCAGAAATGCGCAGCAATTTCAATATGGTTTGAAAGTGCATAAGGAACACAGTACATTTATATTATAATAATACTTCTGAAGAACAAAGAAACTTCGTTTGGCCAAGAATAGGCATAAATATCCTTTGCGAGGCTTTTGTGTTGTGACTTGGGCTTATGTAAGTAACTGATAGGAGGAATGGTGGACGTATGACCTCATGTCGGCGCAGATGTACTTCGTGCTGATGAACATAACTTTTTTCTTTTCTTCATGAGCATGTGAACGATTAACATTTAAATACCGTAGTATTTGACTGTAAATCAGTGCACATGAATGAAAAACGCATAATAGTCAGGAAATGATTGCAAGTTTCATATTTTTGAAACGAGGATCAGTTTTCACCGTCATTCTCATATTTATGAAGGAAAACCAGGAAATTAGCCTCTCTTAAGTGTCATGGAAAAATAGGAAATTCAAATATTAAAATGCCATATTTCTAGACGATTCCTCTGAAAACGCGCTGATGTAAACAGAGGGGAGGTTTTCTGCCCACTGCGAAGTTGACCGGCGTGGAACGAAGGAAGGGTCACTGAGTAAAAATTCCTGGGTCAGGGTGCCCACTCATTCGGTTACCATTCACAACATGTAAAGAGGCTAACTGGTCCGTTATTTCTTAATGTGAAGAAAAGTCGGCAGAATGCTGCAAAGAAAAACTCTCTAGCTTCATTCATTAATGTCACACTCTCAAGCTAGAGAGTGTGACATGAATGAAAAAAGCTAATTTCATTCATGTCTAGCAACTCAACGTATGGTCTTCATCTACCTTTTTCCGGCTGCTGCTTGCCTTTGTTATCATGTCCCTCATTTTCATACTTCTATTCTTATCATATTGTACATTTGTATTAAAAAAAAGCAGCCCTATAATTGAAGAGTTCTCTGAAAAAGAGGCGTATACGCCCTTTTTCCATATATGTGTTCATGTGCAGCTTTAGACGACTTCTCATCAGGTAGGGTGGTCAGCAAGTAGTAAAGATGAGTATTCAGCAAAGGAGAAGCAGGTTTTCCTATGCACTCACTATATAGCAGACCAACTGCCTCGCAACTTTAGCACTTGCATGATGAACGATTTTGGCGGAATTATTTCGTCCTTTTAAACTGAAAATGAAAATGAGGGAGAAAACAGACATGAGGATAGGGAAAGAAAGAGACCCAGTCATTGAAGCCTCTGGAAGGATATGAGAGTTAGATATATCCATGAAATAGTTGCAGATTCAGATAATGAATTCATTAATACTGGATCACTGCTGAGTAATTGGCGAATGAAACGTGTCCTGAATATTCACGTTTTTCTTGCTATTTAAGAAATAGTTTATTTAAAATCTGTCGATGCATATACTGATTAAATAGTATTTTTAGCGGGAAAGAAGTGGTGAAAGACTCTTGGAAAAAGTTTCAGCAGCGCGGATATGGAAAAAGGGCGTATGTGCATAAACACGTTCTGCCTGCATCCCAGCAATGTGAGATAAATAAATTAATGAAAACCCTAAGTTCATTTGAAAAATTTTATGAGATTCCATTTTACTGATAATTAAGTTTTGACCAGCTTAGGATTAGTTATGGGAAGTTTTTATCGTTCATCTCGAATTGCATCCTTTGCACATGCGCCCTTTTTCCAGAGAACTCCTCAATTGTCATAGATTGCGAAAGATGAAACAATAAGGAACTTGAAGACTTGCAATGCTGAGAAAATAGATATCGAAGCATGTAGGGAAAGAGCAAATTGTGAAAGCGTAAGTGTAAAATAGTACTGCACTGTGTTCGTCAATGCATTAAAATGAAAATATAATTAAGCATAATAGGAGCGTAATACTGCAATAGGCATACCTAACATGTTTTTTATTTTTTATTTTTCATCCCCAGGGCTTCCAAACCTAGGTGATGAGTGCAACCCTATTGAAGGATGCGCCGATGAGAATACGGAATGCATCGAGATTGGAGAGAATTGGATATGCGATTGCATTTGGGGATTTCTCGAGGAAGAGGGAGAATGTAGTGAGTTTCCCATGCTTCCTCTCAATTTCTGGGAATTTTCAAGCGAAGTTGCTAATTTCTTCTTTCCTCTATCCCGAACACGAAATAGTCAATATTATTTAGTATATTCAATTGACGATCGATTGCGCTTGACGATCTACGAAAACAATTAATTAATTTCAGAGAGACTAACGGGTGATGCGGGAAAATAGTGACTTGAATTGGTCGTCTGTATCTGGCCATCTGGCAATTACTTTCAAATGCTTTAATAGCCTATCTTGTAGCACATTTTATGTAGTTTCTCCCTGTGCTATTGGTTTTTTTTTAACAATTGAAAAAATTTAGAAAAATGGCTTCAAAAGAAGATACCTTCAGATCCAGAGTGTACAAGTTCTATTCCGACAACATCGAGAAGGGAAAACTCCACACGGTTCGGCATTTCCAAGCTGAAGGGGTGCCCAAATGGACTGTATACCGGATCCTCACTCGTTTCCACAACAATCTACCTGCATCTCGTCAGCCTGGCTCCGGTGGTTCCAACAAAAAAATGACTCCGCGCAAGCTGGCTGCCTTGAGGCGGGCGATGGACAACAGGGACGGGATTTCTCAGCGCCAAGCGGCCAAGAAGTTCGGGTGCCATCAGAGTACGATCCAGAGAAGCCTGGAGAAGCTGAATATCAAGGCCCGGAAGAAGCAGCGCATTCCCCAACGATCTGCGGCCCAGATTTCCAACGCCAAAAAGTTGAGTGGGCGACTTTTTCGGAAGTTTGGAAAGGTCGCTTGGATCATCGACGATGAGTCCTACTTCACCCTCTCCCACTCCACCATCAGCGGTAACCAGACCTTTTACACATCCGACATCAACGCCACACCCCCTAGCGTTAAGTTTTCCCCGAAAACCAAGTTCGAGAAGAAGGTTCTGGTGTGGATTGCCATCGGACCAAATGGCATGTCGGAACCACTGATCAAGGAGTCCAAATTTGCGATCAACGGCCAGGTCTACCTCGAGGATTGCATCAAGAGTCGTCTGCTACCCTACATCAGAACCAACTACGACGACAATTATGTGTTTTGGCCCGACAAGGCCAGCTCTCACTACTCAAAAGTGGTGATTGAGCACTTGGACCGCGAAGGGGTGAATTATGTGGCCAAGGAGGACAACCCCGCGAACCTGCCGGAAGCCCGATCTATCGAGGACTTCTGGGCCATTCTGAAGTCCCGCGTTTACGCCAATGCCTGGAGAGCAGAAAACACCCGGCAGTTGACCAATCGGATCAGATTCTGCCTGCGGAACATGGACCGGAAACTTGTTCAGCGCCTGGCAGAGAGTACCCGAAAACGGCTTGATGAAATCCGAAGGAACGGAGTCGTAGAAAATTGCTAGTATATGTAATTTGTAGTATTTTTCATGCGCTTTCAGATGATGTATAAAAGCTGTTGATGTGTTAATAAAATGATGAAGAAATTGTTGTTGAAAGAAAGTCACTATTTTCCCGCATCACCCGTTAGTTTGCGACCTATGTGGTTTCATTGGGTTATAAGCATATGTCTTGGCTCTGTCAAGTTACTTCCCGTTATGTGACGTTATTGACAAACTAACCGACTAGCTACACTCAATGATTTCGTAATTTCACCCCCAAAATGACAATAGATATCAATTTGCTTATGCACTAACAGTCCTGATCTTCAATAAACCATTATAATTATTATTAATAATTCAACACATGGTGTGATATTTGGAATGTACCGGTTACCCTCTTTCATCCTGAGCTCACCCTCCCCGCGGAGCTTTAGTGTGGCCGTTCATATGAAGGTAACGGGCACACGGGATGGAACTGGCCACGTCCCACTAGGTGGTGATAGGTGGCTCAGCTGAGGTACTCAGTCCGTGGATGCGGAGGAGCTGCATGGAGCCCAAAAGGACGGCCTTTTGCATGCAGCAGGCCAAAGAGTAAGGACTCTTTGGCCTGCTGCATGGCTCTAGATCTGCAGACTGGTATCTTCTCCAGCTGTGTAATTAGCGTGTCCTTCATGCTGTCAAGACATCCCACTATCAGGACGACAAAGGTGCACACGGTAGCCGGGATGTTGACCTCGAAGCTCGAACAATAGATCTTGGTATTTCGATATCTTTCCCTCCTCCTTGCGGGAGATATTCCTCTCTGATGGGCTGGAGAATTCGATCACAAAGATCTCCTTGACAACCACATCAAATAGAGTGATGTCCGGCTTCGTAGCAGTGAGTTGTCTGGTCATGGAGTGAGCATAATTCCAATAGATATTAACATTTGGACTCTCTACCACTGACTCCACTTCTGAAAGAACCCATGGGATCGTAGGATCTTTGTCGATCCCATAAGCGTGCCTCAGATGGTAATAAGGCACGCGCAGAGCGTTGTTGTGACGACTGATGTAAAGGTTTGTCGCATAATGCTTACAGCTAGACAACAGGTAGGAAAGAGTCTCTGGTGCTCTACTGCACGCCCGACAGGTGGAATCTATGTCTTCCCCAAAGATGGTTCGTCGGTACTCGAGAGTACTGATTACACTGTTCTGACTAGTTGCGATAATCCTTCTGTCTCTGATCGAAGGCCGGCAGATTTCAGCCAAGCATGGCTGAGAGTAGAGGAGAGACCAAGATCTTTTAAATTTCGGAAGAAACTTCCGTACATTGTCTTCTCCTCATGGACCTGCAAAAGATGGGCTTGCTGGGCCCTTTTTGTCGCTGTGCTGACATAGGCTAGCGACAGTCCTTTGATCGACCGATCCTGAAAGGTGCTCCCTGTCCTAGTGATGTCTAGAGACAGAGACAAGGATTGTACTGCTCACTCTGCAGCTTTCATTAGGAAAGCTTTGTTCCCTGTGAGCTCATGATGGAAAACGAGCTTCAGCAGTGGGTCCTCAGACTGAATCACCCTGCAGGCCATTCTCAGGGTTAAGCAGTCGTGCAGATGCTCGAGGCTTAATAAACCCCGGCCTCCCTGATGACGTGGGAGATATATGCGCTGAACTGACGCCTTGGGGTGGTGGCTACGATTGCCAGTGAGGACTTTGCTGGTGGCGATGTCGAGGTCCTTCAGCTAAGTTCTGGTCCACTTAAGGATGCCAAAGCTGTAAGACAGGACGGGTACTGCCAGCATATTAGCAGCCATGATCTTATGGATTCCAGAGAGTTGGGAGGACCACACTCTCCAGGGGCGCTCTTTGTACTTGCTGGTCATGGCCCTCTTGATGTCTAGCACGCGATGGCTTTCCCTTTCGGGCAGGCCCACTCGTAGGGCTCAGATGGCGCAAGATGTTTGATGATCGTCCCATCCACGAGCTGCAGATCATCACCTAGTTCAGTGCATCTGCCTCTATTCAGGTGGAGAGCAGCACATTTGTCCAACCCAAACTCCATACTGATGTCACGGGTGAAGGAGTGAACCATGTAAAGCAGATGCGTGACCCTGTGCTACCGGCAGTTTGGTGGACCTGCCATATAGCCTGTCGTCTACCTCAGTTGAACTGAGAGGGGCAAGAGGGAGATGCAAAACAAAAGAGGGCTCAGGGAATCTCCCTGAAATACTCGCCTTCTGAACTGAATGTAGTCAGTAAGGGCCTTATTCCTCCCAGATGTTATCCGTAGCAAGGTGCTATCAAGAAAATAGAGTTTTAACGTTTCACCGCTGCATTTATTTTAGGCTCTATTTTTTTCGAATGTTACGCTAAATGGAGGAAGTACTCTTCGCCGCTTCCGCGAAAATTGTAATATATATTTAAACTTGAATAAAGAGCCAAATTAAGTCTTTCCTCCATAAAACCTACATTTGGCTTCATTTCAAAATACCAGCGATTTGATTGAAGAATGACATTGCTTTTCTTTCTATTCAGAGAAAGCAACGGGAGTGCATTGCATGGATACGACTGAGTGCGTGAGCAATGCTGAATGTACAGGGACATCCGGCGCTGAAACATGCGAGTGCGTTGAGGGATTCCTGGATGATTCTGGATATTGCAGTGAGTCAGTAGTTAACCTTTCTACAGTATTTTCAAGTCGTATTTTACAATCATGGATACTCTTACCGTCTGTTTCCCCTTTACTGCCTATAACACTAATCAGACAGTGAAATAAAGGTAAAGCAGACAGGCGTCACTGGTAGCATTGGCCTTTTGTGCTAAGTGAACGCATGTACAGCTTTCCGCCTGGGTCGGGGTGCCAGTCGATGATTAACATCCATTTCTTTTCCAGCTCTCACGGATGACGGATCCATATTGGACAATGGGATAAAGGTGCTGCTCGCGGCCCCGTGGACCGTTGGGTTGCTAGGCTTACGCGTGAAATGCCGCATCTGGCAACCTAAACTTCATGCTTTTCTCCCATCTCCACGCGACGCGGACGCGCGGATCATCGAAAACGCGCCTCGTTGTCTGAGACTTGTGCATAGGCCAATGACGCACGAATTAAAGGCATAATTAATTCCGAAGTTGTAAGGTCAGGATGCGGCGAAGAGGATAATTCCAGTGGAATAGCAGATCTATACCTGGAGTGATACCATAATGGTTCATTATATTCACATCGCCATTTTTTTCCTAATAAGACTCCAGAAAGATCTGGACGTCTGGACCTCACTCGTATCTGGAAAACATAATCGTCCGGTCCTGTAATACGCAAGCCCAGAATGGCATAGCTCATTAACATCTGCCCTAGCAAATGACATCGAGAGGAGACAAAAAGTCCCCTTCGCATTAGTCTGGGTGCTGAGCACACCAGCTATGAAAATGCTCGTCACTCTTGACCTACCTTCTCTTCATCACAAATGTCTTCTGCTCACCCTCGGGTATGGGAAGTCCCTCCTCATCAATCCCCTCCCCTACCCAAGTTGAATATGAAATCTGAAATAGTGACTAACTCATCGGCAAGTGATGTTGTGTGTGGTGTCCAAATTAGGTCAAGGAAACTACTTTTGATAGATTATCCTAATTTAAACATTTAAAAATGAATGAAGCTAGTAATTTTGAAAATTGCCAAAACTTCCAGCCTCCAAAAGGGTATTAATGACGAACCCTATACGAATATGAACTTGATGTGTGAATGAGGGTTTATTGTATTAAAGATTTCATTTTTCATATTCAAAGTATCTTAAATTACACCAAATCTCAATATGGCACCCTAATTTCAAAATGGGTACCTCAAGATATTCATGATTCATTCACTTCTCCCTCTGAACCCTTTATGACTTTTAAGAAGTAGAGATACACATGCACTCATAGCATTGTGATCGTGCAAAAATAATTATTTAGTCCGTTGTAATTATTTGAAATTTACTATATCTATAATTTAGCGCCACAATTTAGCACTTTCAGAATTATAAAAGCATAACAAAAAAAAACCTTTGATATTTATTTCTTTCAGTTGACTTTCATGGACATTACCCACTTTGAGTAATCTCTTCGTCGCACCCTTGTACAATAATCTTTATCATTCATCTTTACATATTTACATTCATCCTTACACGTCAAACCATTGCTACACAGCTGCAGTTACCTGTGCAAGGTGCACTAGCTTCTGCATGGCACGTTTTGCTGGCACTTTCACCTCAGGACTCCTCTCCACAAAAGTTTATCAACTAATCTTGCAATTAAATTTCAATGCAACTTCCGATGATAAAGATCTGCTGTTTTAATGAACTGCATAGCTCACAGCATTGACTGCTCACTTTGAAAACAAGAACTCTTACTGTTCTGGAAGATTTCGCTGCTCGACTAACACCCAACACTCAACTTACCCTACCACATGAGTCGTGGCCGCTTGAGTCTTTCAGCCTTCCCTATGGTACCACAAAACATTTCGCAACTATGGCGAAAGATAACTGTCAGCAGAACAGGAAACAGTACGGAATGAATTGCCTGGTTACTTTCAAGTGAGACACTATCATCCGATTGTCGCTGATTATTTTCCAATAAAAGATGTGTCAGACCGATATTTGTATTCAACATTCTTTTTTTCGTGTCATTGTGCACCGCTCTAACTTGCACAAATATTTGCTTTAAAAAAAAAGGAATCTTAATGTTAGCAAACTAAAATTTCTCCAGGTTTGAATAAACAGGTTGCTTCCTGGGGATATACGGCATATATCCTTCTTTATTTGGATTTCGCAGAAATTCCCGTTGGAGGAGAGTGCTCAGAGAACGACGATTGCGTGAGCAATGCTGTATGCAGCCATACTACTGATATTTGCTTCTGCCAACCGGGATATTTACCTAACGAATCAGGATCTTGCAGTGAGTCAAATTTTGAGTTTTAATAGAAATTCCAACATGAATGTTCGTCTCTAACTTGCCTTCCTAATGCCAAAATCTTTAGTCCTCCATCAGAGATCGAGAAATTGCCATCACTGTGGAATAAAGCAGAAATGAAATGTATTTGCTATATATTGGCCTAGAAACCGCTGAAGATGAACTCCTATGGAATCTTCGCTGTGTAATCTAAAAGGTACACATCGAGTACACATTACTGGGACAGAGGAGTCCGTCAGCCCCATTTACCAAAAATCCGGACTGGATAAGGTATATGCTAATATAGTTGGAAACGTCTAATATATTGTGCTATGCAGGTTAACTACAAGCTGACAGCGCTGCTATTTAAGTTGCTTCTCTCCTTGAATATTTCTCGGATTTAAAGAACACCTCATTTGGCTGTTTCAAATACCCTGTCCAGTCGCCGTTCAGTGACAATTCAGTTTCAGTTTTAGTCCAGTTAGAGTACCAATTGAGATTTATTCGAAGTCTAGATCCCAATGAAACATCAGTCAGACCAAAGGCAGAACTGCAACTGAGCTGCCGTTTTGAACTCCATCACAGAGGGACTTACTTGCGAATTAGTGATGAGGCTCTTCCAGGGTGAAGTAATCGATGTGGAGCTATGCGCAGTTGACTAAACGTTATTCCATAGAAATGCTAACCTTCGATCACACGGATCCATTCCTTATCGAGTTCCAGGAAATTGGACAGCCAACGCCGAACATTGCGCAGCGCAAACGGGTCAGTGTCTGGCAGTAATCAAGAAAGAGCGCTCGGGCCTCCTGACCGATGGGGGTCATCTCCTCTACGACGTCAGTGTGTCCAAGGCCCTCTGCATACAAGCGCTGAGGGCCATGGACAATGCTGTGCACATTTGGCTGAGAGGTGCTGGAACATCCACCATATATCCCCGATTTATCGACCTGCGATTTCAAGATCTTCGGAGCACTGAAACGGGAACTGAAAGGCACGCGTTTCCGCTCGAACGACGAAGGAAGCAGTCAGGGACATTCGGCAGCGGCTGCCTCAGTCGTTCTATGACCATTACAACGGCTCGTGACCGAATGGGGCAAGTGCCTCAACGCCGGTGGGGCGTATGTGTAGATGTGATTGCATGCATCCAAGGCACATTGGCTCACATTCATTTGACTGCCCCGTGTATTTTACTTTCAAGACACTTCATGGCAAATTATTCGACATCGATGCACTTCGAGGGTCCTTAGACGAATTTTATTTTCGATTGAAACGGGAAAATATTCAAAGCTGAAATTTCGTTGAACAGAAGTAGTTCTCTAGATACTAATCTAAATAGAATGCGTATGTTTGAGATCTATCTCTCAGGCCGCAGTTTTTGCCGTCAACATATGTCAATTGTCTTACTTTAACAAAATGGGAGAATTCCAAGCGCAAAAGGCTAATATTTCAAATTGTTCTGAATGTCTTGATTTCCAACTTTTCTTATTAGTACAATACTTTTGGGGCAATCTTTCGTCAAGGAAACCCGCTTGTAAGACGATGATAAATTCTGGTGGTGGAAAGTGATACGCCCAACTCCAATTGAGTACAGCATTATCACGAGGAACAACAATTTTAAACCTAACATGTGCGAATGGCATGTTGTCCGGCTCGCTAGCAGTTTCGGAGCTATTACAAAGATTATCGGAAGCGACCGAATCTATGTCTAATCCATGTCTTACTCTAACTTCACTTGATATACCCGATGCTACCATATTTTCTGGTTGAAGTTGATACGTTGGGTCATTTTCGCTGTCGTCAATCAGAGCCGCCACAGTAAGAATCTCCATCTGTTGAATTTTTTATTATGTTGTTCTGCATTCAACCTCGCAGCCATACCTGGAGCTTGGAACAATAACGTGAGCATGTTAAGAATATTACCGGGTGGTTTCATCTTTTTGGACCACCCTGTATTTACAAGATAATCAGTCTCCGAACTTGTGAACGCACTTTTATATCTTAAAAATCCATGCAATAAGATGTTACTTGGTGTTGATGATCTGTTATCCTTCATACCTGGTTATATATGTCCGGTCGAAAATTGTCATCATGAATTTGTTTACAGGGCTTCCCACACTGGGTGAGGAATGCTTACCTGAGGTTGGATGTCATCCCCTCAATTCAGAGTGTGCAGTTCTTGATTCCAATTACATCTGCAGCTGTGAAGATGGATTCGTGGAAGACACAGGCCACTGCTGTGAGTTTCTTTGTTGTTGGTCAAGGGTTTCCAATAGCATCAACGACTGGAACAGTGAGTAGATGAAACCGCAAGAGTGTGCCTTGGACCTCCATGTATGCTCTTTCAGGCTAAATAACACAGGACCATCTTTCTCTCTTGAGCTCATAGTTGCGTGAACGGTATTTATAATGCCATCTCAGTTACAATGCCGACTTCATTCAAAGTCGATATCTAGGGGGACAAGACCCTTTCCGAGACTTTCCAAGTATTGTGCATCTGAAACTTTACCTTAGCCAAGCGCTGTACTCCTGATTTTTTTTTAAACCAATGTTGAGGCAAAGGTTGTTACACCAAGTGCTCATAAAATATAATCCATCTTCTATTATAAAAAAAATACGCAGGACGAATAATCTGAAATTTAGTGAAAACTCTTGTGGAGGTCTAGCAAGTTTTGTCCTTTGGGGCTCAATGATATAATGATTAAGTCATTTAGGATATTTGTTTTCGACCATTGTGATTCTTTCGTTCCCAAAGTCCCTGTGTTTACGTATTTTTCAATGTCCCATTAATTTGGTTCTGGTTGTGTAAGATCATCCACAAAAAAACGAATGGAGACTTGTAGTTTTCTAAATTAATCGTCATGAGGCATAGTTCTGCATCATGCCTAAGCTTTCTACAGCTGCCGAATCGCGTATGCGTATTATGCCGCATTGTCAGCTTCAATTGCAACGGCTCCAACGCGGAATAACTAAGTCCATTAAATCCTCTAGATCAGGGGTGCCTAACCTACTGCCTGCGGGCCGGATCCGCCCCGCGGTGCTTCCCGAACATTTCTTCTCGAAATCCTGTTTCTCATTGGTCACTTTCTCTGCGTCGTCCCTCACCCCCTCGGCAGTTACGTGATCTCGTTTGTTCCACTGACAGTTCACCTTGAAAAGGACAGCCAGTCATCTAGTTCCCAATAAAGCTTATTTGTTACCGTGTCTTGTTTTCCTGTGATGTGTGGTGCCAGTGACAGTGATTGCCAGCTTCGCAAAAATCGAAATGTCGGCGGCGAACATTGCGAATTCCAAGAAAGTTGGACGGAAGGCTATCTCTTTATATTGTCGAATATGTCCAATCCGAAACTTCACTGCCTACTTTGTCATGCCACTGTAGCTGTAATTTAGAGCGTAAACGCGAAAAGATCTTACAAAACTAACACATGAATTAAACGCGAATTCCCCCAAAGGATTTCAAGGAAGGAAGGAATCTCGAAGGATATTCAATTTAATTTTGGATTAGGTTGGGAAATATGACTCTAATAAAGCGCAAAATGGACACGGACTGTCGCGTGTTCAAAGAAGAATGGAAGGTGAATGAATGATGTTTTTGCTTTTAGTTTGCGCTGAAAGTCAGTATGACAGGTCAGGGCTGGTACCTAGTTACAGCAATTTCGGCCCGTCCCGAAATTAGTCTGCTACTTGGGGGTGACTGCCTCCAGGCGTTCCAGGAGCAGGCGCTCCATTAGCTCATAGGTTTGCTAAGAAGCACAATTGGCCTATAGCTTTTCAGGTTCTTGGCTGCTTGGCTTAAAAATAACAATAATCTTCGCCGCCTCCCATTGCAGGGTGGGCCATAAATAGTCACACCCAATCGAAGTATTATATTTCCTGTACTAATAACCTCTCATGGAATCAATTGAATCTCAACAATAAACAAGGGCTCGCAGTAACTATTCACAAAATATATACCAACATAAATACCAGAACGGGGACACATGATGTGTCTTCGTTCTGGCAAGCTGGAATCTCTGAGTCTGTTGATCGTACCGGATGGACCTGTTTTCCCTCCTTTTTCGGCACGAACCTTTAACTGATTCACGTCGCTGGACTTCATTTTTGGGCACTTGCTTCCAGCAGACATCGCATACAGTAATCCTTTGGTTACGGTCAGAGTTGTATGGAGGTAACTCGTATTCTTTGATCATTTGTCTCATGGTCAGCCAGACAGTTTTTTGCACCTCAAACTATTTCTAGGCGAAAGAGGATTCACGTTAAAACAGCCAAGGTTGACCACCAAAGAGACATTCACTTAGAGGTACAAACCATTTTTATTTGCTATTTTTAGATGTACATAAATAGAAAAGTTACAAATGGTATTAATATTTTTGGTCCACCCTGTATTTTGGTACTCGTCCTGATGACTGGAATACATTCGTCTAATGCATTGAATGAGATTGAGCATTCATTTTGCCTCTTATTTATTCGTTCAGTGGTGGAAGCTGGAGGGTCTTGCACAGACACATCTGATTGCGTGAGTTATGCTGACTGCGATGATGGCACTTGTACGTGCAGACCGGGATACATCGAGGAGCTTGGTCAATGCAGTGAGCCAAAATTTCTCTCTCATCTATAGCACATTCGGGATGAGCTCAATCGTTACCAATATTCCGAGATATCTTCAATAAAGTAAGCCATATACTCCAAATTCAATCAAGTGTAACGCACGGTATCTTATGATATCACTCGTTTTTCAAACCAGAACTCGCAGACTCAACTGAGCCATTTGCCCTCCTATTGTGGACGATGTATTTGTAGCAGTGGATCCGGGATGAATCGAATAAGTTTCCATTCCATAATAGAAACAGTTGACAGATTTGAATGCAGGAATATCGAAGTGTTTCAGGGCGGAGAGAGAATAACCACTCAAATGTTGATGCAATCAGGGAACTCTCATTGCAAAGTACATCGCATGCATTACATGGAGATGGTAAATTTAATGCAAGGAGTATGGTCGAGTATTCATTTTGCATCTTATTTCTTTGTTCAGAGGTGCCGGCTGGATGGTCTTGCTCAGAATCACATGACTGCGTGAGTAATGCTGAATGCACTGAGGACATTTGCACGTGCCTCCCGGGACACGAAGAAGTGCTCGGTGACTGCAGTGAGTCAAATTATATCGCTTGTCTATAACACACTTGGGATGAGCTAACGCCTCACCCCGCGGTTAAAGTATTGCTTTCCTTGTTGAGAGTCCCATAACTCGCCTAGCAATCTTTTGCTTCATACGTGGGGGATTCAAAAACTTATAAGCTTGAGGCACATATAGCTGTGAAACATTATACTCTTGTCGTGAGAAGACAGATGCATTCGTCCACTTAATTGTCGAGTAAAGGTCCATAATTTATTTTCAATGTGCTACAGAAGGGTCTACTGAAGGGTACTAATATTGAGATGGATGCTATGATGAATTTTCTAACCTCTGAGTCGATCTCCCTGCAGATCTTTCGTAGAAATATCAGTAAGACTATCCTTTTAGCTGCTGAAAGAAGGCTTACAACGTTTAGAACAACATGTATGTGCTTAGTCCTTCTGAAATGCGTGAAGTTGAAGTACACTATGATGGGACTTACCGGAGATAAAATTGAAACGGTGATCCCAGGCTTCAAGTTCATCAGTCGTCCAAGATTGCTTAGGATGGACACAAGTAAATTTCATCCGAAATGCGGAAATGCTGCGCACCTTCGCGGCCTCCCACATGACCTTCGCCCGTGAACATGCAATTCCCCGAAATAAGCAGCCACTGACGCGGCTTCTGGTTCCATGGTGGGAAGGAGTTTAAACGATTTGGGAACATCCACAATTGGAACGAATGTCACTGACACCAACACCACTTTTGACAAGGTGAAGGAATTATCTTGTGATTAGCACGGCTGTACTCTTTTCTCTGAAATTTTCCCAACAAATTATGACTAACAAGGAAAAGCATCCATTGTGTTCCGCATTTGACAATAATTCCTGGCCTGCTGAATCATCCTCAAAGCAGTTACTATGTCTAGGGATAATTTTCCTTATCATAATTCATAACTGTAGTCAAGATTTATATTATCTAGCAAGCAATGCCATCATTCCTCTTTATATATACGGTAAGAGAAACATGGAACGGTGTCCTTCTGGACTGTGCATACAGCTGCTCGTGGGATTTCTTATTAGACACGAGGGACAGGATCGAAGGATCTATCAGAACACAATCCAGTAGCACGAGATAGATGTTGCGCATTCTCATGGTTTGAGAACAATAACATCCGGGCAACATTTCCGGACACAATTCCCAGATGAACAATCATCAATTTTGCACAAGGTTACACAAATATTCTTCATTTACTGAGTCACTGTCACCTCCAGCATCCGCACCCACCCAATGACATAACTGTTTCGATATATTTTTTTCCCTGATTGTGGCCTTAGTACCTTTTTCCACTACGGAAACCATACCTACAACTATGGGAGAAACTACTACGGAATACACAACGATGGAAGAAACTACTACGGAATATACAACTATGGTTAATGATGAATATTTGGCACCCGGTGAAGGATGGATAGAAGACCCTTGCGACGAAGACAACGATTGCAACGAAAACGAACATCTTGCCTGCAATTCATCACTCATGAAATGCATCTGTGCCGACGGATACTTATTTGACACTGACATCTTCATGTGCAGTGAGTATTCATTTTACCTCATCTTCACAACTGCATACTTGAAATAGAGAAAAAGGTCGCACCTGAATTGTGCTAGACTAAAAATGATAGTCCAATTTATTAATTATGAATATACCCTTCTGAAAATCCAACATTTGTTGGTCCAACAGGGGTGATTTTATTGGTTGTTGAAATTGCACCCTTTTGGAAATCAACGTGTTGGAATACTCCATACTAAAACAGTCATGTTGGATTGATTGAAAAATTAAAAAGGAGACCACACGATTTTGCTCATATATGACTGCATTCATATGAGCTATGAGCGACTAAGAGACTCATACAGGGTGTCTCAAAAATGTATGCACACTTTCATAAATAAATATATAATAACTCAAAGGTCTCGAGACATTCTTTACTTTCTTGTGATCTTTCATAGCGAGTATGGCCTCTGACTGGTTGGTATAGTCAGCTAACATGGTGCTTCCCGCATGAATGTATCACCTCTCTTGATTTTGGGTTCAACGAGTGCCAGTAGTTCCATGAAGATGACATGATACATCCTTATAAGAGTAGGGAAGACGAAGGGGATCTTACTCGTATAATTCTGGGAAAACATTGGCTCAGAAACCCTTTTTCTCGGCTTCTCGCCAGCCGTTTTCGCATCCATTCACGTCTATTTTTTACTTCCACGACGTCCTTTAGGTTTCCTCAATAAAGTCGATCCAACCAGTAAAAAAAAAAGATCTAGTAGTCAAAATTGTACCCCTGGAAAATTTCATCTCCATCTAGACAGGGCAACTGCAGGGAGAAACTAAGCATGCAGCAGACATTGTCCTGAAAACCCATGAGGTCTTCTCAAAACGTCTAATCGTCTACTCATAGCAAATTCCCTCATATCGGAGCTGTCATATACGAGCAAAGTCATAGCGTTTGATGGCGCCTAAACACCAGGAACAAAATTCCCGTAAGAACTCCATGTGCTGTGCCTTCCATAATTCTATGGCATCGAAACCTTATCACTCAACTAGATGCCTTGATTTTTATCAAAAAGGTAAATCAGCATGGATGAATTCAAAAGGCACAAGAGCACAAAAGGCACAAGATTGAGCGAATATGAAATTTCGATACTCTTATCTTTATTGATCTTCCAAAACTTAAAATTATGTTTTCAAGATCAAAGAAATGCAAATGTAGATGAGGATGGCCAAAATTCACAATCCTGCCGTGATATCATCGTTACCCGTGGAAATGCTGGAAATGCTAGCTCAGGGCTGAGCAGAGCTGAGAGATGAACTCAGACTGAGATGAAAATGGTCCCTTGGTACTAAAAAAAAGGATAGAAGGACTTCTTGTCGCCTTTTTTGCGAGGTACTCTTCTCATAAACGCTAGATGAGGTGTCGGGATCCGGCCCGCGGAGGTGGTTCTTCCGGCCCGCCGTCTGTTCTTAAAGTTTCCTCTTGGATCGACTGTCGGTACAAATTTAAGTGAAAAAGTAAGGGTATGGCCCGGAGGCATTTGTAAGCATTCCTTACAGCGGGCAGTTGGCTTAACTCAAACGTGGGGACGCGATCTACCATATACTATAAATAGTGGGTAGTCCACGTCAACCCGCTTCGGTACTGTCGCGGGTGGGACCTCAATTACATACCGGTCCATGTGAATGCAATGCATTCCTTTGAATGATTCATGTATATCTGGTCCTTGATATGATTAACAGCGAAAATCCCCCGTGGCCTGGGAGACGATTGCGAGATGGATGAGGACTGCAACGCAGATCTTGCATTGGAGTGCGACGACGAGCTGAAGAGATGCTATTAAAAGAANGTATATCTGGTCCTTGATATGATTAACAGCGAAAATCCCCCGTGGCCTGGGAGACGATTGCGAGATGGATGAGGACTGCAACGCAGATCTTGCATTGGAGTGCGACGACGAGCTGAAGAGATGCTATTAAAAGAATGGCTTCGCCCTCGAAACCTGAAACATTTCAGTGCGTATAAGAGAGAAATTTTCATTCATTTTTCCTTGTGTGATTGTGTTTATTCAACAGAATCAACAAAAATGAATATCTGGATGACTCATTTCCTTATTTCTCTATACATTATATTATTATTAGGCTACCCGAAGGAAATATAGCTACAGGCGCAACATACTCGTATTAGTCTCCCAGTAGTCAATATATCTGGGAATATAATTATTGACTTTTACATTATTTTAACACGTTGGCGACAATGCGTCCTGATGGCAGGACGCATTTTTTGACAAAAAAAAATGCGCGTGGTCCCACGCGGCGGACAAGCAAAAATAGGCTGGTCGTCAACGTGTTAACGAAAAGGAAAACTTTTTGTTACAAATCTTAAGGCTCTAGAAGAGTTTATTTTTGCAGTTTACTTGCACCTCTTTCCATTTTCACCAACGAAAAAAAACCAATTGAAATTCACATATAAAATAAGCAATCTTCAGTGTTTTTCACAACTACAGCGATATTGATTTTTAAATTTGCTGGAGTGATTCAATGTTGACAGGAAGAAAGTTGCCTTATTTCTTTCTTGTTGATGCTTCCAGATAGGAATACGAGGAGGTTGATTTTATTACTGCATGGGGTTGAGAAAAGGTAATAGGCGCTGCCAAAGCCTATTGATTTGACCAAGGCTCACGTACGGAAAAATGATGAGTCGAAATCAAATGTTGGTAAAGTGTCAATATTTATGCCTTGGCCCATGAGAGGCCCAAAGATTTTCCGCAATACCCCATGCTGTTAGGCCAGATTTGCTAGGCTAGACTTGCAAGGCCAGACAAAGAAACCACAGTTGTAACATCACTGGTCTTCAGGTGCCAAAACATTAAGAATACTGGCAGAGGTACCCGACGTTGCACGGGTGAATATTGTATACTAGCGATATTGTTTGCATCGGGCATCAGAAACTTGAAATCTTTTCTTGAATTCAGAGTGTCAGTAGGTACGTCCATATCACGTTACAGTTTTCCATGTCCATTCTATTGACAAAAGGAAAAATATTATTTGAAGATATTTCGCCTTGAAATTCGCGCCCCAGGGACATTTACCTCCAAAGTGGGATTTATTTTGTGTAACTCAGCATCCCAATATATACAGTACTTATGTATCAAGTTTCACCTATCTCTGCCCAGTTCGGTAGGAATAAAAAACTATTTGAAAGCGTCACCTCCCCCCTCCCCAAAAAAAGTAGGCCCCCAGGGCATGCACCTGAAAATTGACATTTTTCCTGATTTTTTTCTCAGTAGGCACGTCCATGCCAAGTTTCAGCTTTTTATGTCTCACCGTTTGACGCAAACAAATATATATCATTGAAAACATATCCCCCCCCCCCCCCCCCAAAAAAAAATGGGCGCCCCCAGGGCATGTACTTCAATAGTCGGATTTTTTCTGAACTCTGCATCCCAGTATGTACTAGTTTCACATTTCCAGCTTCGGGTCGTGTTGGGCCGATCGGGCCAGCCCGTAGCCCGCTTAGGCCTCTAGCCTTCAGAACTCGAGATCTTTCGGTACGCTTCCTTGAGTGACTGCTGAAGCTTCCAACATCTCATGGCGTCACATTCATGCCGGCCTGTTAGCTGCTCGCCCGTGGGTGACGTCGTTTAATGACGTGATCGCGTCGAGCGCTGACAGAGTGAGGTGTCCTTTTTGCCAGCAGCTATAAGAGGCTGGGGAAAAAGACCCCTCTGATAGCGTTTTCGCCTCCACTCATCAAGAAACTATTGCCAACCGAGTAGCCGAGTTTGATGGAACCCATCTAAATCCCGTTCATGGCTCAATATAATATCCTATCAAACGCCCGGATGTTTGAAATTCGAACGACCGGTCTTACTTAAATGCTATCAAGCGGAACTCACTGACGATTTGATTACATAAGAAAGCGTGTTTCATAATGATGTAACGCATCTATTATTCAAAGCATGGCAGTGTCTGTAATGGATTAAAATACATCCTTCCGCTAATCTAAAGATGAACTCTTGTAGACTGAAGTCAGAGCGCTTCCGTTGAGCCTACGGTCTAGAAAGGCAGAGTATTGTAGGCCCGGTCAGAGCGGCCTGAATGCGATACCCTCTGTGGTGGGTCCATTCTGGGACATTCATCATTCACGGCCGTTATGATCAAGAGGGACAAAAATTAAAATCTAGGAGCAACGTTTTGCGCAACTTTAACCAAAAGCTGAAGGATAACGGGCACGACGACAAAGGGAGACAGAGGAAGAGCGTCACGTAATGCAGGATGCAGAAGCTGAGAGATGGAGGAACCAGCGAGAAAGAAATACGTCGCTTTGACATCAAACAACACTATGCACCCAGTACTCAGGGCTTTATATTGATGCACTTAGGTCGCTGAAAAATCAATCACGTGATGAGTTTTTGTCGGAGAAGCTATGGAGATGATTCAATTTTTGTAATTACATGTTCCCAGAGATTCATGCAAAGACGGATATCTTAATAGGGGGGGGGGGTGATTCAGGTAAAGGAGCGGAAGCACCTATTGATTCAAGGCGATAGGCTACGATTACTCTGTCAGAGGAACCTATTGTAGGAATATCATAGGTTTGTAAGCTTGGAAGCTCACTCTGCCACCGATACGTATTACACCACCAATACAAGAGACCAAATACAGACATCGTATGGAACTGGGCTTGAACAATGAAGGAAGCCACGTGGGCCAGAGGGAAGGTGATGGGGCGAAGAGGCCACACACTCCCACGAACTTGTATGTGAATCACTCAACAGTCAATGCATGGCCTCGAGGGATTGTGAAGTTCTAAAGAAATCTTTCCCCTTAGCCTATGGCGTAGAAAGGCTGAGTCTTGTAGGCATTGCGCATTGGGATAAAGAAGTAGAGGCTTGCGTCAAAGAGGCCTAAGACAAAGCCCTTATGTGCAGTTAATTCTGAGACACTTTGTACACCATCTTCGAGCGGATTAGAGATACGAAGCTTGAGATGTTAAACATCAGGCATTGATTCCATTCTTTATCCTGCTCTAGCCCATGTAAATGTGAAACGGTTCGGGCGTTGCATACGCACACGGAATTCCAAGGTACAGGAAACACAAGGGGGACTCATCATGACCTAAACCCGGACTCCTTATGGGCATATGTCATTGAAGTGGATAAAGTGAAATGGACACAGGACATTGAAATGTCAGAAAACCGGTGTAGGAAAAAGAGTTTTCCTTCCCACAAACCTGAGATGAAAAGTCTGAATTTCCCGGGAAGCTAAGTAAGCCTGTGAAGTCCACCAAGGGCTTAGAGAATTCCCAACATCTCCGTGGAAAGGGTCCACAACTTACGGCCAACTCCGCGTGTGGCCCGAGAGCCCCTTTCTTGTGGTCTGCCGCGACTGGTGACATCGTAAGTGCTCTTGCCCCATTGGCCACAACTATGGTCAGCTAGACTGTGGCCCACAGTAGGTGAGTTAAAATCGCAAATGGCCCTGACAGTATTTTCAGTTGTGCACCCCTGCTCTGTGGGGTCCAGGGGAGTGAAGTCCATGAGAAGTTCCTAGCATCTAGCAAACTTTGAGACGTAAAACAATGCAATTTCATAAATTTTTTGAAATTGCATTCATCAAAATTGCACCAATATTTACTTTTGCACCAATGTCTGTTAATACCATATACATCACATCCACCTTCTTTCATATTCTGTTCCAAACCTTTACCGACTAATTCTTGCAAATTGGAATCCTGTCTGGGCATGGCTGTGAGCATGGCCGGACGTGTTTGAGCCGCGCTCCGTCAAGCTGAAGGTCGCATAGTGTGGAAGGTCAGACAGGAGCCTGCCATTACCATCTCACTCAGCGCACATGGGCCCAAAAAAGAAAGGTGAGTACCATGGAAAGTACTGTGAGACTCAAAGATTTTTTGTCCAGTTCGGTGAAAAAAACCAGGATCGGTAGAAACGAAGATTCCTCATATCCAAGACTAAGTTAAAAGGGAAGCGCCTCCACTGCAAGTGAATCCGAGGACTCCATGGCATCCCCGATCCGAGAAATTTGTAAGTCCCCAAGCACTTCTCAGAAGAGCATAGTGTACAGGACACAAGCATAAAATACATCCTTCTGGAGATTAAGAGCGGAATCACGTCGAATTCAATGGAACTGAGGAAGCTGACTGAAAGAATGGATAAGTTGGAGAAACGAGCAGAGGGACTGGAAAGGATCTTACAGCAGGAGGTAAAAGGAATCAAAGATGAGCAGAAACATCTTTCCAAGAAGGTGAAGGATCTATCTGATTGGAAAGAAAGTTCTCGGAATTTCATGAACAATTATTACAACCCAGTTTATTTAAAAGCAAAATCATCTCAATCATGAATGTAATCACCATTGGCCTCTATCACTTCACGCCAACGTTTATGCAAACTATGGATGCCATTCCAATAGAACTCTGGC